AAATGGAGTCAACACTCTCTAAAGATGGTGTGAGAAGTGGATGTGATTTTAGTCAACAGGAAAAGGGGTGTTTCCTCCTGTGTGGAGCAGTAGAAAACCCACAGAATGCACTCAAACAGACCCAGCATGAAAAACAGGGTAAGTGCAGAGGCTGTCTCTGAAGTTCAAGTTACTAACCTAATGGCTCTAGGAGGTTACTTAGCTTCTCTGAACTCCCACTTCCTGTATTATAAAATGGAAATAGACAAGATGAGCTAATGTTCTGCCTTAAATTATGTCTTCTTAATTTACTCATTGTGTGACATTTGGTAATGTCATTGGGTCTTGAATGTTCTCCTCTACAAAATTTCCTCCCTTTCACCTTAAACAATCAATTAAATGATTAAATAAGAATTAAGGGAGGATTAAATGAGAAAATGAGTATGAAAGGGCTTTATAAGTTCTGAAAAAAAATAATGTGTGCATTAGGAATTGTTTCTAGAGTACGCCTAGCACTTCTAAGTTGATGTAGGTCACTAGAAGATGAAAGGCAGGACATGTAAGATAATTGGATAAGCTGTAGAGTGTGAGAAGGCCAGAGGATGATCTGGAGGGTCGGTTGACACTTTTCTTCATATTGCTTGCAGCATGTGACATCAGAGGAGGACAAACCTGGATGCTGAGGCCCCTGAAGATTCAGACAATGCTAGTCAAAATGCGGTTAGCATGTGGTTCCAACAGGAAATGTTAGCGTCCATAAAGAGGTACACACAGAAAATAGGAATAGATGTTTGAAAATTTTATGTTGCTCTGGCATGCAAATATGTGATCAGTGGGCTTATTTGTTTATTTTTCTTTTTTGAGACTTGGTTTGGCCAACCTACCTGGGCTAGCCTCAAACTTGAGATCCTCCCTGCCTCAGCCTACCGAGCAGGTGGGATTACAGGTGTGCAACACCATGTCCAACTAATCGGCCTTATTTTTTTAAAGTGCATTTGTCTAATAACTTACTTTTATTTTATTTTATAAAAATATGGGTCACCAGTGCTTTAGGGGGAAAAAAATCGACCTTCTGTATGAATTGGAATCTAACTCAAGAAATGTGATCTACAGCGTTGATCAGGATATGGAGGCAGCAAAACTCAGAAGGTTTTTGAATCGGTCACGTAACTTTGCATTTTGGTTCTCTTTCTTATTAGTTGTGTGATAAAACATTTGACTTTTCTGTCTCAATGTTTCTCTTTGTTAAATAGGGAAAAGTCCATCAGTCCTAAAAGGTTACAGTATGAACGTTAATGTAAACAACATACAAGGTTTTCAATTAAGGATGGTTACTTCACATTCCTGGTTAAAAAAGCAGAGCTCTGGGAGGGGAGGGTCTCTGCAATGAAGACAAGTGCCCTCCCTGACACGAGAGTTTAGGGGGCTGGCCCCAGGGACGTCCTTTACCTTAGTGTTGTATTCTGTCACCAATCGAAGGCTGTTGGTCTCAATGAAAAGGCTTAATTTGGCAGCTTCCATGTTTTCAACTTCTTCACCCTCTAACTTCAACTGTTCATTATCCACCTGGGAAGCACAAAGAAGGATCCGGTTGTCACCATTTTATCTTTTTTTTTTTTTCAATAATTGCTAAATATTCTTAGACCACTATGAAACCAGCCTCCAGTAAAGTTTCGAAGACAGACAGAAAAGTGAGCCAGGAGGGTTTTCTGCCCTTGAGCGACATGTTTCTTTTTTAAAGATTATTTTTATGTAACGCAATTACTGATAAATTTAATTATGAATTTTCCATTGGTTCTGCCTGTTCCAAATTCTACTTTTCTTCGTTTCTGGCTCAGTTTTGAATTGACTGAATTTATATTATCCCTCCACATTTATTTTATTTTATTTTATTTCGGTTTAGAAGCCACACAAGTTTTAATTATTCCTTTAGGGATTACTGGCATGCATTATACAACATGAATTTTTACATATTATAATCTAATATTAATTGGCTATTCCATCCTTATCTTGACTTTAGAACATTCTCATAAAGTTTATCTTCTGACTTCCTTTCCTGACCCCACAGTTGACTTACAGATGCTTGTTTTGTGTTTGAATTATAAATCTCACAAGACATCATCATGATTATTATGTAGTTTACACTTAAATTTATGCACATATTTATATTTTAGTGTTTCTTCATTCATTCCTGTGTTTTTGAGCTTCTACATAGAATGTTTCCACCCCTCTGCCTAGAGAAAACCTTTTAATATCTTCTTTAGTATCAATCAACTCTTGGGTGACAAATTCTCTCAATTTGGTTGTTTAACATGTGATTTATTTCAAGTTTGTTTTTGAAGTCTGTTTTTGCTGGTGGTAGAATTCCAAGTTGACAGTTATTTCCCTTTGTGTTTGAAACAATGTAATGCTCAGTATTTTGTGTTCTATTATTTCTAGTGAAAAATCAGCTGTGACCTATTTCTGTCCTGTCGAGAGTACTTGGAGGGTAGTCTTTTTTCTCTAGTTTAAGATTTTCTTTTCTTTTGCGATTTGGATCTTATACTAGGGCATGGCTAAGGGTGGATCATACACATTTCATGTGTATACAGTTGTATGTGTATAAGTGTTTGTGTGCATTTTTTCATGATCACCCTAGTCCAGTTTCAAGGATAGAGATGATTTGTGTCTATGCTTTACTGAAGTCCACATGAGGGCTGATGTGCTTATGATGTATCCTGGCATTAGGTAAAGATTTTGGGATCCAAAGGAGATAGTAAGGAAGTTTTACTAGATTTACTTCCAACTTCCGCTGTGGGGCCTGCACACCAACATTTATTCTGTTGTCCCTTTGAGAATCTCTCAAAAATGGTGATGAATGTCTCATCCTTAAACTGTTTTTTCCCCCCTAGAACTAGAAAAAGCCCCCAAGATGGAAAGCTGCACCCAATATTCTTAGTTTCCATCTTCTAGACCTTGGTCTAGACATTTTCCCTTCT